AATACAGTAGAACTATGTATGTTAATGTAGAATTATCTGCAGTGATAAAGTGAGAAAGCAAGGTATCCTGAGTGTGTGACAAATATTACCATTTGTGAGATCTATTTTATTTTAAAGATGTTTTTAATCAAAGGACATAGATATTCCTTGCAACGACCTCTGGGAAATAGGAGACATTTGGGGCAAGATTACAACTCAAACTTTACCCTGAAAAGCATTCTGATGGATCAATCATTTAATTGCAAATAAAAAGGAAATAAGAAAAATAGTAGAACTTTTTGAATAAGTCCTTGTTGAACTTGTCACAAATCATAGAACCTTTAGAAAGTGTATCAGTAAATGTAAACATTTTGAATGTCAGAATCCACTACATACTAGTTGAACATTGACAACAAAAAAGTCAATGTACATAATTTATATGATAAATAAAGGTAAATAATCTTATTATATAAGAAGCCCCTTATGAAAATTTCAGCTTATATTCAAACATACACACAATCACACACACACACACACACACACACACTCGCACACACACAGTTATTTTCTTTAATCATTTCTTTTCTATTTAAAGAACTTCCTTTAGTTCTTCTTTTGAATTAGATCTCCTCATGATAAATTCTTAGCTTTCCTTCAGCTGAGAATGTCTTGATTCCTTCTTTTATTTTATAATCATATTTTATGGTTTCCCATTTTAGTACTTTTCTTACATATTTATAATTTATAAAAGAACAATTTATAAAAGAACAATTTATAATCTGTTCTTTTCTGTGAGTGAGTGTGTGTATGTGTACCCAGAGTTGAGTTAATTACATTTGTCACTAACCACAACATCCTATACCCAATCATGGATTTGCTTTTATTGTAGAATTAATTCTAATGTTGTAAAGCCTGCCTCAAATTGTCAGATTTACAAAAACAAAAACAAAAACAGAACAAAAGAACTTGGCTTATGGTTTTCCCCACAAATTCTAACATAAACTTTTCCTTCTCATTTTCCAAAGAGCTTCAGATATAACACTCTGCCCCATACTGACCTAGAATGTTCTTTTCAATGAGTACTGCCCATGTTTCTCTACTGCTCTGGTCTCTAGCCTAGAAAGACAGACTCGGACATCAATCCATGAATGCCCATTAGAGGTTATTATCTGGGCATTACAACATAGAGGAAGTTACAATAAATAGGTAAAGATACACATTTATATCTATATAGATATCTCCAAATGGAGCTGGTGAGTAGGAGGTATGCCTGAAAATTATTTCATCTCCATTTCTCATATATATAAATTATCCAATATTTGCAAAATGAATGACAAAATTATATTTAGAGTGTACTTAATGTATTATTTAAAAAGACACTTAAAAAAATTCTGTTGAACTGCAATAATATAGATGACAGCATGAAATTTTATTTATTTATTTTTTTAAGTTTATTTATTTTGAGAGACAGCGAGAGAGAGAGAGAACAAGCAGGGGAGGGGCAGAGGGAGAAGGAGAGAGAGGATCCCAAGCACTGTCAGTGCAAAGCCTGATGTGGGCTTGAACTCACAAACTGTGAGGTCATGACCTGAGCCAAAATAGAGTCACACACATAACCGACTGAGCCACCCAGGCACCCCAACAGCATGAAATTTAAAAAAGCAGAACAGAATAAATAGTCCTAAAACTGACCCATACATAGGAACTTAGTGCATGAAAAACGAGGCAACTTCAATCAATAGAGAAATAACAGATCCTTTGATAAAAATTATTAGAAAATTGGGTCGCCTGGGTGTCTCAGTCAGTTGTTTCTCACCCTTGATTTCAGCTCAGGTCATGATCTCATGGCTCATGAGATCAAGTCCTGCAGTTGGGCTCCATGCTGACAGCACAGATCCTGCTTAGGATTCTCTCTCTCACTCTCTGTCCCTACCCCAATCTATTTCTCTCTCAAAATGAATAAACATTAAAAAAATCTCTTGGAAAATTATTTGCCCTACTTTTTATCAATCATAATAATATATTCACTGTGAATTAAAGTACTAAAAGTGTTATTAATCCTAAAATTGTACTGGATGAGAATATAAGAAAATAATTTAAATATTGCTGTATGAAAAGACTTTCTAAGGAAAGATGCAAAGCCCAGTGTCATAAAGAAAAAAGTAAAAATAAAATATAAAAATCTCACAATTTACAAGTCTTATAAAGTAAAAGTAGCTAAGCTCTAGACAAGATTTGTGATTTTGCAGAACCCAGTGGATTTTACCCATAATTTGGAATAATATATACAAACCAAAAAGGAAAAAGCAAGAAATAAAAAAAATACTATTCATCAAAGGCTCTGAATATACAAGACACAAAGAGATACAAACAGGAAATAATCTTATGGAAAGGTGCTTAATCTTGATAATAACCTAGGAAAACAATAAAAACACATGTCACATTTTCCTCATCAAATTAGTAAACAAAGAAAATGATTTTATTTACTAGGATCTAGGGAAGTTGGCATGTTCATAGTGTCATTAAATAAGTGAAATTCTTCAACACTTATTAAAAGGAATGAGTCAGGCTCTTTCCACCATCTTTCCACGACGCCATAATGGGGCTCATGAATGTCCTGGCAGATGCTCTCAAGAGCATTAACAATGCTGAAAAGAGAGGCAAATGCCAGGTTTTTAATAGCCCATGCTCTAAAGTCATTGTCTGGTTTCTAACTATAATGAAGAAGCATGATCACATGGATGAATTTGAAATCATCGATGATCAAAGAACTGGGAAAATTGTTGTGAACCTCACAGGCAGGTTAAACATGTATGGAGTGATCAGCCCCATATTTGAGGTACAACTGAAAGATCTAGAAAAATGGCTGGCAGAATAATCTGCTCCTGTCCTGCCAGTTTGGTTTCATTGTACTGACAATCTCAACTGGTATCATGGACCATAAAGAAGCATGATGAAAACACACGGGAGGGAAAATCCTTACCCCATAAAATAAACTTACCCCAAATCACAGACCTGACAAGTGGAGGCAGAATTCAAAGATAGCTTTAAGGTACCAAAATCAATGCCTTTTAACTATCCCTTGTTGTTCTGTATGACTTACATAGTTCAAGCTTCTCAGTTCCTAGGAAACCGTAAAAACACATAAGCTTTATATGGGTCTACTAATTCAACTTTGATCCTTTTTCTAGGAATGTAGTACATATGTGCAGATAAAATGCCTCAATGGACAATAAATCAATAAGTAAGTAAGTAAGTAAGTAAGTAAGTAAATAAATAAATAAATGAAAGGAATGAGTCATGGCTCTATGTATTATGATGCAATGGTTCCTAAAATACACTAAGTGAAGCAAAAAGTCACTAAATAATGAGGATAACGAATCTGGTCTCTTGTTAAAATAAAAATATTAGGAAGAAAATCTAGGTAGAATTAGGAAGAAGTATATAGGTAGAATTTAAGAATGGTTCTCATAATATTGTATGTATGTGTATATGAATATATATAAATTTGTATACAAAGAAAATATTTATTTATTTATGTATTTAATTCTGAAAAGAATGCCACATTTATACTATCAAAAGAGGGTTTTAGAGATTGCCGTAGGCAATATGTATAAACAAGATAGATGCCTTGGCCATTCTCCACCAAGGAACTTATTAGTTACAACATTCCCTTTTCCATATCAAGTATGGCTTCACTATCTAGAACCAAATCAATATAATATCAATAAATAAGTTTTAAAAAATAATGTGTCAGAAAATGTGCTAATTATTTTACATGTATTATCTAATTGAATCCTCACAACAACCCAAGACAGTGTTACTAAAATTACCCTCATTGAATAGTTAAAATATGATTTCAGAATATAAATAATTTATCCAAGAACACACAGCGGGTAGCAAGTAAGCAGCAAAATAATGGCTCAATATTGTTTCTCCTTAATGCATTTAACCACCCCATCACTCCCTCTGAAAGGACTGTTTACTGCGTACCTACCATGTCACATGTGCATTATCCCATCAATGACTTTGTGATGTAGGAGCTATTATAGCTATATTTTACTGATAAAGGAAAGAGACAAAGGATTTAAATAAAATATCCATAGTCTCACAATATTAGAGGCTCTTTTTAGTCCTTTTACTTCTTTTCTTTACTATGTCAGACAGAAAAGATTTGGAAGAATGTCCCATTATTCAGGAAGGCTCACAAGTTTCTCATCTACCAAATATGATCCTAAACTTCAGGTAACCGACATTTCTCAATAAATGAGGCATAAAATACCATGACTCAATCACATCACAGATTTCTGAAAACTGGTAAACAGATCTTGAGAGTGTTACAGGTATTGGTGTTCTTTACCTGTACCACCTCTTGGCACATACATCCATTATTTACTTTCTTCTTGTGATATCTGGATCAATTTAAACTCCTCTCATCCCTAGACATCCACAGACACCTGTGAGTCTCAAGACCAGAATGGGGAAGGTAGAGGGCAAAGCATAAGCCTTTTGAGGCTTCTTTTGACAATGACCACTTTCAGGAAGTAATTATTACTATTTTCTAAAATTTTTAATGTTTATTTATTTTTGAGAGAGAGAGAGAGAGAGAGACAGAGCACGAGTGGGGGAGGGGCAGAGAGAGCCGGAGACAGAATCTGAAGCAGGCTCGAGGCTCTGAGCTGTCAGGACAGAGCCCGATGCAGGGTTCCAACTTGCAAGTTGCGAGATCATGACCTGAGTTGAAATCAGATGCTTAACCAGCTAAGTCCCCCAGGGGCACCCCAGGACTTAATTATTGAGGGATCCAGATTGTAGAAATTGATGATAACAAGAGATAGAGGAGGAAAACTGAACAGAAGCTGTGATTTTTCATTCTGTTTAGAACAACGTAGAAATTCCAAAGGAGAAAATTGAAAGAGCAGTTAAATCTTTAATAACTGTTCATTAATTTGAAACCCATAGCAAGTAGTTTGGTTTTTATTTTAAATTACTTTAGATTTAATAAAAATTATGAAACTTACATTAATCTTGATCTCACATCTTGAGCTAGTCCATTCTGTAACACATGAACATTGATATTCAATAATGAGATCTATGCATCTGAAACACAGAATTAAATTTTTAAATAATTAGAAAAATAAAGTCTAATTTCAAGGGAATTTCACCATTTAAAGTTTTTCTTTTCTAGTTACTGTAAAAAAATACATTCCCATAAGCAACAGAAGGCAGAGTCTGTTCCTGGTTTCTTATCCTTCAAGGTGACTGGACTGAGAGAATGGATCAATTTTAATTTTTGCCGTCTTCCCCATGGCAATGTAAAGAAAGAACAGTTTCAAAGATAAACAGTATGTCTAGAGTTCGTGTAGGGAACTGAAGTCAGCTATGGCCAAACTGCATTGCAATGAGCTACCCATCCTCATCCTCTCTTCCCTGTTTACAAGGTCAGTGGCAGGACTAGAAAAGAAAAATATTGCTGCAGAGGCAGTCTGGTGCATCTATGAGCCATTCTTCTTTGCCACCTGCATCTCCTAGAAATATCCAGGGTCTCAGTTTGCATAAACTAATATTCTATCCATGAGCAGGATGGTCACTATACAATTCCATAATGTCAAACAATACCTTACATGCACATAGGGATGAAAGAACCAGTCTACTTAGGGACATTTTAAATACTAAGTGTGTGGCATTATCCCTTCACAGAGCAAATAATAGAATGTCTCATCATCTTACCTTCTACTTCTATTACTGAAAGCAGTTACCTTTAAGTATATTAAAGTCCAATTAATCCACATTTATTGAAAATTACTTTATGCTAATGAGCAGAAGTAAAAGAAGGGCAGAGATAATGTATCAGTACACTGCATTAAGTAAAACAGGCAGCATCTGTCATCTTAACTGTGCTTAGCTCTTGTTTTATGAAAGAGCGTAATTAAAATTATCTTTATCAACTTTCCCTTGACATTAAGTCTTAAATATTGTGAGTTAAATTTACTTTCGGATTTAATAATAGAAAAATAAAAATAGCAACCTTCCATGTAGACAAGGATTTGAGAGGCAATCATTTGCATTTGCTTCACAGTGTGTTCCAGAAAAGCTACTCTTGCAGTCACAGGTACAATGATAGATGCCATCAATGCCAGCTCCATAATGGAGACAGGGCTTTGATAGACCTTCATCTATATTTACTTCATTACAATTGATGCCTACAACAGAAGAGACAAGACAAAACATGAGACCATTTAAATGCAAAACTCAAAAGTTTGTTCATTATGGTAAATGTCACCAAGAAACGAAGACTCCGTCTCCATAAAGGTAATTTGACACATTGTAGCAAAGGAAAACATTTTTCAAGGTTAAACATGTTTAGAGGTCTATGAACTTGCACACTACTAATTTAATGTAAATGAGAAAAACAAAGCACAAGCTTAATCTACGTAATATTTTTTTTAGTGTGAGGTATTGCTTATTGAGAATATTAGTGAAGTAATGAATTATATCAAGTTGTCACTGTAAATAGTAATCATAGTTTTTTTTTTAATAATGATTCTTGACAGTTTAACATTTCTTACTGACACAAGTTAAGAAAGAGCTTGAATTTTTCTAAATTTGGTCTTGGTGAATCTGTTAACGGACTGAGATTTCTAAATGCAACCTAATTTTGGTGAAATATCTAGTGTTTTCAAAGGCCAAGTTTTAAATATTTATTAAGCACCTACCATGAGTTACCTCTGTGATCAACTAGGGGCACCAAACAAAAAACAAAGGAAAAAAAAAAAACCACAACAAAACAAGAAAAGAGAGTGACCCTGTTAATCCAGAAACGTGATGTCAGAGGCAATATTTATAATTAGAAAACATCTGGAGAACAACATAAACAAAGCTTAATGGAAAGCTAGATTCTATTTTAGGTTTTACGTGTGAGAGATACTAGGAGAAAGTAGAGAGACAAGGTAAAAATGGTTGCAATAATCTTTTAGTCATTGTGTCCATCCCTACTGAGCACCTAGCTACAATTGATTGAGCACTTCTTGATGCATCAGGCCCTGCACTGAAGCTTTCACATATATTACCTCAGTTAATGGTCATCTAACCAGGAGGCAGATATCATTAACTCTAGCTCACTGGTGAATAAACAAGGGTTTGGAGAGTTTTAATAATGTTTTCAAGTCACACAGGCCATAACAGTAGACTGGGATTCAAATCAGTCTCCTGGAATTATTCTTGTGATCATTAGTTTAAATGGACAATTCTGCAACTACTATGATATGTGCATAAGCTACTGTGCTGAGTAATACAATAGACACTGATAAAAACAAGACAGTAGACCCCAAATAGAGTCATGTCACCAAACCAAGACTTAATTACAGTTTCAGCTCTCCTAGAAAAGGAATCTTAAACCAGTCAGTCAGGAATCACCTGATTGGCACTAGTTAGGTAGTCTGCCTGATAGACCTCTGTCATGCCCTAATGAGTGCAATAATCAACCTGCTTTCCTGCCTAGAATAACTTCCTAGTTTCTGCTCCCTTTAGGACATAAAAGTCTTTCATTTTGTACAGCTCCTCTGCTCCATTCTATGTATTAAATGGATCCTGCCCATTAGAATCAATTTTGGGGCAAAGTAGCTCTCAAAATTTTTAATATGCCTCAGTTTATCTTTTAACAGTTCCAATTAAAATTGTCTCTAATAGCTAGAAACATAATATTTAGCTGAGAATAAAGATAAGCTTATTAAACACGTAGTTATCATAATGCTTATAAACAGATAGTTATAAATAAGCTAGTTGGAAATAAAGAGAAGGTTATAAGTAAATAAGTTTATTACAATGAAGAAAATAATAATAATAATAATAATAATAATAATAATAAAAAATAACTGATACTTGGAAAACTTACTTTGTGCCAGGTACTGTTGAGAACTTATATAGATCAACTCATTTAAACTATAATGATTTTTTGATATGGAAATTGGTCTTCCCATTTTAGAGAATAAGAAAATAAAGTGCAAGATCTCACAGCTAGTAAATGGCAGAGTGCCTGCTGTTAGCCACTATGTTATACCATCACACCACATCTTAATATGCAACAGTATGGTGTCTGTCCTAATGAGAGAGGAAACTGAGTGCTTTGGGAATTTAAGAAATGAATAACTGAGTCCATGTCTGAAAAAGAGGATCAAGAAAGCTTTGATGTTTGTGGAGAAAAGGAATCTGAGAAAATTCAGATAAATAGTTTGAAAGCGTACATTCTAGGTGAGTTAGATATCTCAGCATTTGTTTGCATATCAGGAAAAAAGTTGACTATTGGCAGATAGGCAGCCATTTCACAAAGTGATATCATAACTTAACTTTACTCTATATCTATGTAATAGTAGAATTATCTATTCAAGTTATCTAATCATATATATCTATATACATATCTATATATATCTATATATATGGCATATATACCATATATAGAAGATTGTCAGTTTTCAAGTCAAAATTCTATTACATAGTGGTTACTTTTTTTTTTTTATCATAAATGTTATTACCTAAATAGAACTTTGGATATTAATGATGTTATAAATATAATGTGTGTAAATTGGTCAAATCTGCAGCCATATTTAAAAGGACTATAAAAACTTAGGTTCAGAATATGGATTACATAAGCATTATAGAGCACATTAGGTTATTAATAATAAAACCAAAAACGGACTGGACCCCCTTTCCTAAATCTCAGTGGCTCATCTCACACAGCTCCATGACCAAGGGGAGCATACCCACTTTACATTATCTTCATTCTGGGCCCCAGGTTAATAGAACATCTCCTACCTGGGACATTGTCATCATCATGGGACAGGGAAAAGGGCACTTGGCAAACACATACTGGTTCTTAAATCTCCCACCTACATTTCATTTGCCAAGTCACATGAGAAAGCCTATCGTAAGTGGAATAGGCATTAGCGGTCTTCCACAATGGAAAAGAACAGATATTTATAACAATAGTAATTTTAGTGAAGACACATTAGTCATTGATTAGGACATCATAGGTTTATTGAGATGATCAAGTAAAACTATGTATTTAAAACAACTAGTCCAGGGCCTGATACATATTTAACACAAAATAAATATCATTTTCTTGACAAAAAAATCACAACTACATTGTATAAAACAAGTGATTTTGGTGTTTCCAGAGGTATCTTTCTAATTATCATGACAAGTAAAAAGTGTCTCTGTAGGACTATGTAGAATATTGGCAGAATCAGTGACAAAAATTTCAGTTAAAAAGAGATGTTCAATTCACCAGAAAAGTGTCGCGCAAGGGGTAAAATGATAAAAGGGAATTTGGCAGGATGCATCTAGCACTATTTAGAGCAGGAGACTTGATAGAAGATACTACTCTCTGCTGTTGAATTATTCTCTGTAGAGAGGGCAAGTATGTCTCAAATTCAGTGTAGCAACATCATCAACATTATCTTAGGAATTTTTCATTCCCCTACTGTTTTATTTCGTAATTATAGTATTAATTTGACTTCCTAAGTAACTTCCAGAGAGAATAAGAATGTAATGATTAGCTGACTTGGACATTCTTGTCCCTGTAAGCAATTTTTTTTTTTTCATTTTTAACACCATAATCCTTCAGCACCGTGTAGATTGTGCCCTCTTTTCACCTCTTTAATTCATTATAGTCTATCCTTACCCTTGACTACTATGCTGTAGTTACACTGAACTTATGTCTCCTCAAAGACTTTGTTCCTCTTCCTGGCCCTCTCTTTTCCTAGATTTCACACAATTCATTCCTTCACTTTCTTCAGGTGTTTATTCAAATGCCATTTTCTCAGTGAGGCCTAGTTGACTACACCAGATAAAACTGCATCCCCTTCCATATTCACAATCACTGTTATCCTAATTTTAATATTTTCCCCCATAGCAAATAAAAATATGCTCATTTGTGTTTTTATTTTTGTCTACTTTTCCCATTACAAGCTTAACTCCAAGATGGCATGAATTTTGTCTGTCTAGTTCAATGCTTCCTTCCTTCAATTCATTGTGGAGTGTGCGTGTGTGTGAATTTATATTTTGCTTTACACATCATTTTTGTTTTAGTTTTTCCTCAGAAGTCTTTGACTCTTCCCAAACAAGAACAAAACAGTTCTTGTGAATCTGGGGAAACTGTCAGTCCTTGGAATGGTGAGAATCAGAATCTGGAATAAAGTGATGTCTCTGAGGTGTGTGCCTGAAAGGCATGTCTTATCTGTGCAGTCTAGGGGAATTATTTAATGGAATCTCTATTTTTCCCTACCTTCAAACAGAGAAGAATTCATGACAAGTTAAAAAGTAATAAAGGTGTGGAGAGTGTTAGACTTTGGTTTAAAATGGTCTCCCATACATAATTACCAACATTGAGAAAGAAGGAAATACTGTTGTTTGTGACAACATGAACTTTCAGGGCAGTAAGTTAAGTGAAGTAAATCAGACAAAGACAAATATTGTACCGTATCACTTACATGTGGAATTTAAAAGAAAGAGAGAAAGACAGAAAGACAGACAGAAATGAAAGAAAGAAAGAAAGAAAGAAAGAAAGAAAGAAAGAAAGAAAGAAAGAAAGTCAAACCCACAGAAAAGGAAGAAAAGCAGTTGTCAGGGGCTGGGTGTAGAGAAAATAGGAAGAGGTTGGTAAAATCACACAAACTTTCAGCTATAAGATGAATAAGCTCTCAGGATCTAATGTATAATAACATGGTGACTATAGTTGATAATATTGTATAGTATAATTTCAAACATGTTAAGAGAGAAATATTCTCTTAAAAACAGATAAAAATTCTGAGGTGTTAATTAACAAAATGGGAGAATCCCTTTATAATGTACACATGTATCAAATCATCATGTTGTGCACTTTAAATAATCTTACAATTTTGTCAATTATACCATAATAAAGCCAAAAATAGAAATTGTATATTACCACCATAAATGGAAAAAACATTATTATGTTCAAGAAATGAAAAATAACCAAAAAAAGCAACAAAACATAATTGTCAACCCATCCAAACTTTAAATTAGTCATCTTCAAACTATGGATCAAAATATCTACATTGTAGCATAGTTGGGAGACTTACAGAGAGTACATATACATTTCTAGCAGCATGAAGAAGAAAAGAAATGGTGTTTATAGTAACTATTATTATAACAGTAGGTTCATTTATCTTCTTTACAGTATTCAAAT